GAGCGTAATTGTGATATAAAAGGCGACCGTGCATGCCAGCAGCGTGCCGAACGCGGCATAGAAATGCGGGCCATCGTAGTACAGGTAGCTGCCCCAGACGTTGGACAGGCCGCCGATGGCGTTGATCATGGCCACACCGGCAGCGCGCTTGGGGAACGGACGGGCCATGTGCAGGTGCAAGGTCTTGTAGAGCATAATCTGGGGGCCGGAGCAAACCGAGGGCATGAGCATCATGGCAAAGTAGCGGGCGCCAATATTCAGTGTCGACAGAGCAACGATGTACGCGGCGACGGCGACGCCGAGGCAACTGACGATGATGATGTACATGACGTTCTTGCGGTCGCTGATATACGATATAACATAAAAGACGATGGCGGCGAGAACGTAGGGCGGCGCTGTGAGGAGAAGCGTGACCATGCTGCTGTAGCCGAGAGTCGAGACGATGGTCCTGCTCGGTTAGCGTACAGTAATCAAGAGCATAGAATCCATATACTGAAGAAAGAGCGCACTTACGGGAAGAAGTTGACAATCGTGCCCATAGCTTGACCCATACCGCCGCACCACACGAGCGCCCAGATCTTGGGGTCCATCATCGCCAGCTTAAAGCCTTGCCACACCGTCGTCTCCTCGTGTGCCTCACCAGCGCCAGCCTCCATCTCGAGACGCCACACAGCGTAGTCGCGTTCCACGGGCGTCAACAGACGCTTCGCATTGTGTGGGAACTCGGGCATGATCAGCGCAAAGAGGATGCCACAGCCCATGGTCACAGTGCCTTCAACAATAAACAGCCACCGCCAGCCAGCAATGCCGTGCCGGCCATCGAGTGTCAGGCACGCGGCCGCCACAAAGCCACCAAAGGCGCTGCCCAGCATCTGGAACATGAAGAGTGCGGCCAGGCGCTTGCCCAGCTGCGAGCGGTCGTACCAGGCACTTAAAAAATAGAGCACCCCAGGGAAGAACACGGCCTCCGTCACGCCCAGGAACACGCGGATGACCAGCAGGCCCGTGTACGACCTGGCAGCCGCGGTGCTGGCGCTGACAGCGCCCCAGACTGCGGCAGCGCTGCAAATGTACAGACCGGGCCGCGTGATGCGCGTCATGATGAGGTTGGACGGGATCTGGAAGGGCAGGTAGCCAACGAACAGGATGGAAATGGCCGTGGCAAACTGCTCTGTGGTCATGCCGAGGTCGTTCATGATGCCATAGACCTTGGCGGCGGCGAGGGCAGAACGGTCGACATAGTTGAGAATGTACAGGATACCCATGATTGGCATGATGACCACGTCCATCTTGCGGGTCATCTTGACGTTGAGGTGGCGCAGTTCCTCGTCGGACATGTTGGCGATGCTGTCGGGCCGGGGTACCGTGGCCAAGCGCGGCACTTTGAGGTCAACATCGTCAGCTGCGTCGTTCGTGTGGACGGCAGTGACATCGTTCGCCTCGCCCGCTTTGACGTTGCCGAGTTCAAAATTGCGTTCACTGTTGGTCATCTTTCGTAGTTGTCGGAGTCGGTCAAAGGGGATAAGTAATCGGAACGAGATAATTGGCCTCGTAAGGCTTACTGGGCTCAGATGAAGCCGATTATGGATATGAAGAGGGTACAAAAGAAATAAAATAACACTTTACGAGAAAAATAAAAGGCAGAAGACTATAAGACAAATAAAATATGCGGGCTTGCAACTGTATCGCCAACCTTATACTCGGCAATCGACAGTCGTGCTCGCTTACGAACAGAGCAGTCGCTTCGTCCAAGACCTCTTCTGCTGCACATCTACATTAGGACTCGTTTACCGGGGTCTAAGCTGAAGGACGTCGCCACAGGGCAGCACAACTCGGACTATCGAACGGGTCATGACCTGACCTAAACAGTACGCGATTGAAAGGAACGAAAATGAAAAAGTGCAGACGAAAAAGGGAAGCCGAGTACGAAGCATAGGCGTTTTTCATTCCCCATACTCCATCCCCACGAGGAAATCGGGGGTTCCCCACGAACAGCAAGGTATGTCGGGTCGGATGACAAGGCGATTGGATTTTCCCTGCTGTGCACCTCCCTTTCGATGTCCTGCCCGATGCAGATTGGTCTTCTCGGTGGGTCATTGCACGGGAGGTTTGTCGGTTACCGAGTAGAGACCCTTGCAGCGCGGCCGGGGTGCTTAAGACTTCTCCGCACACCGAAAGAGGAAACTATCGTCAACTGATTAAAACCTAGACTAACCTTAAACCCGAGGCATAGGCCGGAAAGTCACGTCCAGATCATGATACTTTGAAATAATGATACCGAAAATTATTATTAGGTGATTCTTGCTGTCAGATACAGTCAAAGACTATGGTGTTGGGCTCTGTCATGAGAGCCATCTGGAAACGCTGATAAAAGGGGAAGCAAAATAATTTGTCTAGATATCTAGACGTTCATTAATCCATCGTGAGACGACGGTGTAAAAATCAGAAGAAGAAAAAACCGTGACAGCGACAGGGACAAAAATAGGACAAAAGAGACGACCAAGAATGGGACATTCATACATCAAATAATCATGCCCGTATCCGTAGCCCGTCTCTTTCAGGGTGGTAAAAGTCAAGATAAAGAACAACCATCGCATAGCTCAAGACTTTTGGTATCATACCGTGACAAAAAGAAATGAAAAAAAAAATGACAAATGAAATAGTGACAAAAGGAATAGCAATATGGCAAGTCTCTACTCGGCATCTCCTCTACCAAGATGCCAAGCGAGGATTGTCGAGGACCAGGTCCAGGGCTGGGTAATTGAGCTACTCCGGTGAGGAGATGGACGATGCCGAGGACGACGTGGACGGAAACGACAGGCCCGTGGGAGCATACGGCTCCGTTGACGCCAGAACAATCGGCGGATAGAAAGACACGCCGCCGCCCACCCGCTGATGGCCGAATCCATCCTTAGTTGCGGCACTCTTGCAACGACGGCAGCAGGTATGCTGATGCTGGTGGAGGGTAGGTGAAGTAGGCGAAGAGGTTGCCGAGCGAATCGATGTCGGCGTCCGGGGGGCCGCCATCGTGGCACCGGACGACATGTTCAGGGGCGCCGTCATGGACTTGGCCAGGACACGGTGGTGCCGGTAGTGCAACGAGGCCTTGTCAAAGCTGCTGGTGCTGCGATTGAGGCAACCGGGGTCCAGGTGGAGGTCGTGAACCGACGACGGGGCTAGGGTGGCCGAGTCAGAGTAGGTGTCGTAGGGGTTCGTAAAGGCTGAGCCAACAATGCTGGCTGCCGCCTTTTCACGAAGCATGTACAGCCTAGGGAAAGAGGGTGGTGTTAGTGAGACAAGGCTCGCAAGAATGGGCCGGATCGTGTTACATCGTGGATGGAAAATGGGACTCACTCTTCGCCAGAAACGCCTGGCAGGTTGCCCATGCTGTCCTCCTTCTTGAAATCAAACGGAGCGGACTAAACAAGAGAATGGATGTCAGCCGATGTCACAGTCTCGGCAGTGAGAGAGCATGTACAGGTTGCAATGCGGGTTGCTACTCACAATCACCAGGCGAGGCTTGGTCTTCTTGTTCCGACGCAGGCTGAGAACGTCATGCAAGCGCGAGACGTAGCTCTTGAAGGCGTGGTAGATTTGGGCGTTTGTCATTTTCACTACCGAGATTTTTTTTTTTTCGTTGATTCCTTTTTGTAACGGAAAATGAAGCAAATGGCGATGGAGCGATGCTGTACTGTATGATGCGATGGTCTTGGTCTAATGCAGTAACGATGGGCAATGACTGTATGGTGTATCGTTGGAAATCAAATAAAACGAGCGACTGGGCTTTTGGGGCGCAAGAAAAGAAGGCCGAGATCAGGAACACATCAAGCCGGACGAAGATGCATATATTAATGTCGAGGCAAAACGAGTGACTGGGTTAGATGCTGTGAAGTTACAGCATGAAAATGATAAAACATGCGACTTTTCAGGAGGAAAGGTAGGAAGCGGTGGGAGTAGCCGAGTCTAACAGTCTTTTGAGTGAACTGAAAGGCTAGTGATGAAAGAAAATGCAGTGTCGCTTTCGAATGTACGTGTCGTCGCCGTTTTTGGCTTCTTTTGTTTGGTTGCGTTTGATAAAGGAGTGGATGGCCTTGACAAAGAAGACCCGAGTGTTTTGGTGAAGAAGTTTCAACGACGTGTCATGGTGTAAAAAGTGAGGTAAAAGAAAGGAGCAATGAAAAAGAAACGCTGAAAGAAAGTATTGAACAGAGGGACTGGAAGAACTAAGACAACGAGGCAATGCAGAGACAAATGCAGAGAAAAGAGACGCGGTTGATGGTTTGCAATGGCGGCGATGTGGCAGAACACACAAGATGCAGGTTGACAGCCAAAGTGTAGACAGACTGACAACAGAGTGGCAGAGAAGTTGGTTTGACAAAATGGATGCTACTCTGCCGTCCCTTTTATTCACAGTCAACCGCGCCCTCGAGACATCAAGCATTCTTCGTGGTCTTCTTTCCTTTTGCCTTGCAAATGAACCTGGATACTTTCGAAATGTGTGCTTTCGTCTGCTTCTCTAGCCTCCTCCATTGGTCATTCGCCTTGTCTTGTGCCACTGGAATTCGAGCATGTTGTTTGGCCCCCAAAAAGGGATATGCATTCGCAAACGGCTAGCTGTGTTGAGCAAAGGCCCGAAGGGAGTCTAAGACAGGGAGCCTCACTGGTGAAGACTGAAGAACGGGCAGAAACAGGCAAGCAACGTGGGACTTGCGGCCACTTGGGGGTCTCCACCCAACCAATCTGCTGCCCAGCTCGAGATACTCGTCAAGGGCGAAACAAGAGGAGTAGGGGGACAAACGACGGCCAAAGAGGAACTAGGAAGCACCACAGCCGTGGCAGTTGAAATTGAAAGGGAGGAAGCAGGCACGAAAAGGCATGAAGGGGACGCAAGTGCACCAAGGAGTCCCGTGTAAATATGGCCAGGCCATGGGCCATCTAGCCAAACACGTCAACAAAGACTAGCAACAACTGACAATGCAAAAACGCGGCTCTTTTGAAAAATGGCCTCGATAGCAAAACATCACCAAAAGGCCGCAAGACACTCATTTCGGCGACAAACATGGGGAAATGGGTTTTTTTGTCGACGAGTTCGTGCTTCACTGGATCCCTGCCCTGTTGAGTTCCTTCTTGGTGTCGAACCCATGCCTCGATTGCAGTTTGACCTCGAACGCAACGCGAACGCACGCGAAGAGCGGAGTCACCGCGACAATGAACTCGAAGAAGAGTCTGAAACTCTCAATAGAGCGTGAGATGTGAACAGTTCCTGAGCAGTTCCCGGGGGGCATTTGCAAAGGAATGCTGGCCGTTGGACATTTCGATGCCCACTGAGATCGTCGCCTGAGGCGTTTGTTGACTCCAGTGGCCAATTTGGCCTCAGAGTCGTTATAAAGTGGCTGGATTGTGCACGAGGTGAAGGCCCAAGGATGGGCATCGAGAACGATACGTGGTAAGGTAGACCGGACGACTGGAATACAGCAAAATGCAAACCAAAAGAACACGCATCAAGGCACATGCCCCCTGCCTATCAAGGTGTATTGGTTCGTTGTTATCTCTGCAGGTGGAATGGGCCAAGAAGGTCGATATCTCGAGAGGCAGTTCTGGGACAAGGCTGTGGCAGCCAACCATGTAGTGTCATTGAGGTACGAAGCAAGAGGCGAAGGAAGAGACATCGACATGGTGAGTGGCAAGTCGAGGCATGGGACGGGGAACAGGGAGGGAGGCAAAACGGTAAACCCAGAGTTATTTCAAGTATGTGTACAACATACGGAGTATGGCGTATTCAGTAGGGCTCCGTACTTTACGCGAAGGTCAGCTATGTCTGCGTTCATAAAAGGTAAAGGAAGGAACGAACTCTTGTATTGGTGGCGCTTTCATCCACGCTTCTCTGAGCTCCTTGGCAGGAACAGGCACAAGCGCAGGGACAGACGGACCGTTTTAGTGCACTAAAAATGGCACTCATTTCAGCCTCGACAAGCACATTCCTCTGTATCAAGGGACGGTGAGAAGAGGAATAAATAGTACAACAGCAACAGCACGCCGCGAAAGAGTGAATGTCCACTCATCCTCCCTTGCTTCCATTTCTCCTTCCCTTTGCCCTCATAGTCCCCTCATCAAAGCGCATTCCTTTGCCACGACGTGTATCGCGACTTCGTCAGAAAAGGGGAAGGATCGTCAGGTACGAGAGACCCTCTCGAGGTAGACATCCAACGGGGAGTCACCAGAACCAGCATTTGGCTTCAGTCTTGTCCAGCTTTCTCACATCCCATGGTCCTCGTTCGCACTCAACGTCCTCGGCACCCGCTGGACACGCGAGCAAACCCACGCATCGCCACCAATCCAAGGACCGAGGCGCGGTCAGCGCGTCTCATGCTCTGGATCCCTATTGTATCTTATTTGGCCCATTTCTTTCTCGCCACGGTATGTACAACTACACAGCCTTTACACAACTTCATGATGCCGTAGCTATTGCTTAATTTCGTTGTTCGTCATACTTGATTCCACGCCACCGCGCTTGAGATCACATTGTCAGCATCGATTTTATTTCTTGAACCCTTTGTCTTGCCTCCGATAAAAGTACCGGGCCTCTGAGACAATGCCCAGGACGCTCACCCGCCAACTCATCTTGGTCCGCCCGAATTCTCCCTTGCCAGTCTCGTGAATCGCGCTGTCGCCTGCACACCCATGTATATTGCATTCTTCACGTCCTCGGCATGATACATTGACGAAAGTTCCAATACAACAAATAGCCCAAGGATCCCCTAACACCGTGCCACGACGCCGAGATGCAGAAGCCTGAAACATTGAAAATCTCGGGCCAGATTCCAGACCTATCTACTTTCCTCCTCTCCACGCCGTTCTTTTCTCTTTTCACTCATATCACCACGGAATGCTTTCCATACACGTATTAGCTTATATTTGCGCTCGCGCCCATTTTTTCGCGTTCGTGCTTCATGTTTGCTCGTGCAGTTCATGTATTTCGCTTTACTATCGTGCTCTCTCTACCACGCACTGCGTCCGGCAGGTCACGCCCGCCCGTGTCTATGCCGGGCCATCCGCCAAGTGGTAGCTCTTCAGCTTCACAAACTGGTCGAACCCAAACCGGCTCAGTGTGTAGCCGCGGCCCGAGTTCTTCCACCCTGTCCACGCCAGGTCCGGGCTTGGGTAGTCGCACCGGTTCACAAACACCGTGCCCGCCTCGATCTCGTCGACCAGCGCCGCTGCCGCTGCACGGTCCTTGGTCCACACGCTCGCTGTCAGGCCAAACTCGCTGTCGTTCATCAGTCGCAGCGCCTCGGCGTCGTCCTTGACCGACATCACGGGGATCAGCGGGCCAAACGTCTCCTCCTTCATCACGAGCATGTCGTGCGTCACGCCCGTGAGCAGCGTCGGCGGCACAAAGTTGCCCGCCGCCGGCGCACGCTGGAAGGACTCGTTGTCTGTCGGCGTCACATCCTTGGCGCCCTTGCTGAGCGCATCCTTGATCTGCTCCTCAATGGCTGCCTTGGACCGCTTCGACACCACCGCGCCGACGTGCGTCTTGGGGTCCAGCGGGTCGCCCAGAACGTAGCCCCGCAGCACGCCCTGCACGGCCTCGACAAAGGCGTCGTGGATGCTCTCGTGCACATACACGCGCTCGAGCGCGCAGCAGCTCTGGCCCGAGTTGAACACGGAGCCGTCGACAATCTGCTCGGCCGCCCACGCCACGTCGACGTCCGCGCGCACGTACGCCGGGTCCTTGCCCCCCAGCTCGAGGCCGACGTTGACAATACGGTCCGCAGCCGCACGCTGCACGGCCAGGCCGCCCACCACCGAGCCCGTGAAGCACACGTGCGCCACGAGCGGGTTGCGCACAATGGATTCGATCACAGAAGGCGAGCCACTGTGGAAGTACTGCAGGACGCCGGCCGGCAAGCCCGCCTCTTCAAAGGCCTTGGCGACTTGCTCGACGACCGTGGGCGTCTGGGGCGACGGCTTGAGGATAACTGTGTCACCCGCCAGCAGCGCCGGGATAAGCGTGTTCACGAGAATGAGGTATGGGTACTACAGCGACAAGGCGTATAGTTCGTCAGCCAAGAGCGCCAAAAGAAGCGAGAGCCGCATTGGAAGGGGGACGTGTAGAATCGTGCAAAAAACAAGTGGACCAAACACGTAGGTGTCGGCCATTGAAACAGGCTCAATCCGCTTTGCGCATGGCGTGGGCACGAGAACAGCAGAAAAAAGGGTCAAGAACAGCATGGGAGTTTCGGGGGAGAGGCCAAAAGAAGCCAAACTCACATTCCAAGCAAAGATGATCAAAACAGGCCCCACGGGTACTTTGCGAATGAATCGCTCAAAGCCCTTTTCTGCCTCACCCGGCGAGTCCTTGAGGGCTTCGTCGCTCGCCTTCAACAGAAACTCGGCGCGCTTGATGGCCGTCGAGATCTCTTTTCCCGTATACGCAATCGGCCGGCCCATCTGCTCTGTGAGTTCGCGGGCCAGCTCGTCGGTGCGGCTGGCGAGCGCGTCCAGCGCCTTGCGCACAATGATCTGGCGGTCGCTCAGCTTGGTCGTGCGCCAAGTCTGGAAAGCCTTGGTCGCCGTCTCCGGGAGCAGCGCGAGGTCGGCCTGTGAGATACCATTGCGTGTGACGACGGGCTCATTGGTCGTTGGCGAGATAGTGGTGATGACCTCGACGGACATGGTGACGGTAGTCGGGCGGTGTGAGTGACTAAAATGTGTAAAAAGCGTGCTTTTGACCGGTCGGTGTATTAAATCCAAGGGAGTTCGCGAATCGAAGCAAAATAGAAAGAAAGAAGCCAAAGCCAGAACCTACAAATGGACAGCATCGACATCGATCTCGCCCCACGGGCTTCAGCAACATATGGGCCTGGCCGAGACCTTTGCCCCTCCTAACGAGCTCCGAAGCAGGCGCTATGCCCACTCTCTTAGCTTCCTATTCGAGATGATAAGACACGAGGTGAGAGTGGGTCCTCCAGGTGCCGAAGCGTTGGGCGGTGTAGCGCATTTTTCAGGTGACGCCCATTGAAGACCGGCAGAATTTCAACTTTTTTTACTAGGTGACCAGCAGAGAGCAAAAGACGTCTCGAGACAGTGAACAACAGCAACCGGCGCAAACGCAATCACATCTTGCCAAGATGTCCCAAGCACACACCACAAGCACAATGGTTTCAGAAAAGAGAAATACGTTTCTAGACGCTGGCGACAGCGAGGAGGACGACGGCCACTACGAGTCCGAGGCTGACGAGGTGCAGAAAGGCGGCCGTGGCACCAAGCGGAGGAGACTGGAAGACGACGAAGACGACGACGACGACGACGAGAGCAGCGACGATGATGCCGATACTGACATTGACGATCGGTTTCAATTCAGAAACGAGGACGACGATGCCGGCGGCAAAAAGGACGCAGGAGACAAGGCGTCTGCTCGATTAAAGAAGCAGAGCAAGGACACAAAACGGGCCAAACGAGACGAGAGCGACGAAGACGAAGACGACGAAGCGGCCGGTGAGAAGGCCGACGAGGCCGACGACGTACCGCGGAAAGATAAGAAGACGTCCAAACTCTCAAAAGCCTCGTCCGCCAAGGACGGTGACGCCGCCCGCATCGAGCTGCCCGGTGTCAACAAACCCCTCACCAAGAAGAACCTGGTGGCGTCCGAAAAGGCCGTCCGTCGCTCCGGTGTTGTCTACCTCTCCCGCATCCCGCCATTCATGAAGCCCACCAAGCTGCGCTCGCTTCTCAGCCCCTACGGGACCATCAACCGCATCTTCCTGTCCCCCGAAGACCCTCTGTCACACACCCGTCGTGTCCGCGGCGGCGGCAACAAGAAGCGCTCCTACGTCGACGGCTGGGTCGAGTTTGTCAACAAGGCCGATGCCCAACGCGCCGTGGACCTGCTGAATGCGCAGACGATTGGCGGCAAAAAGGGCACCTACTACCGCGACGACCTGTGGACGCTCGTCTACCTGCGTGGCTTCAAATGGCACCACTTGACGGAGCAGATTGCAACGGAGAACGCGGAGCGCGCAGGCCGCATGCGTGCGGAGCTGGAGCAGACTGCGCGGGAGAACAAGGCGTTCCTAGAGAACGTGGAGCGGGCGAAGATGCTGGACGGCATGGAGGCGAAGGCGGCGGCCAAGGCCAAGGCCACCAAGGCGGCGGCAGCAACAGACGACGCCGCAGAAGCACCGGCAGCAGCAGCACCATCCAAGGCGACGCCTGCAGCTTCACAAAAGAGCGTGCGATCGATCAAACAGAAGAAAATGGTGGCAAGAGCCGACGAAGGCGAGCAGTCGGAGCACGTCCAAAGAGTGCTGAGCAAGATTTTTTAAGTATGCATGGACAGACAGCACAACGGACTATTGAAGCACTTTTCATGGCATTTTCTTGGTTTATTTCAGCTTGGGTTTGTATACATGTACATACATTTGTTCTTGCTAGTGTCAAGTTTTCAAAAAGGCTTCGGCATACTGAGGCACCTCCACGTTCTCATAACTACAATGTTCACTTTAAACATTATCCAATTGAATGATACCATCATGAAACTACAGTAAAATGCACTTTCCCAACGCCAGAGGTAAATCGTAAAGAAAACCAGATGCCATGATGCAGGGGTAACGAAGAAAGCAGAAAGACACAAAGAGGACCGGCAATAAATGACCGTGAAAAAGAAGTCGAGCAAGTCAGTTCGCGACCTACTCCTCCCCCCCTTCGTCGTTGATGTCCAGATCGTCGAGATCGTCCAGCAACTCGTCCAAGTTGACCCGCGGACCATCGTCGTCTTCGTCTTCGTCCTCGTCCTCTTCCCCCTCGTCCTCCCCCTGGCCCTCCTCGACATCCATGCTGCCGGATGCCTCCATCTGTTTCCTCCGCTCGGCGGCCAGGGCGGCCTTCTGGCTGGGGTTCTTGTACAGGGCCAGCGCGGCGCGCAGCTCCTCGTCCTCCTCGACGTCCTGCAAGAACATCTCGTATTCGTTCTCCATGCGTGCCTGGTCGGCTTTCTTGGGCAGCAGCTCGCTCTCCTGCTTGGCCATGCGCTTAAGCTTCCAGTTGCGGTGCTTGTTCTTGCGGCGGTTCGGGTAGTGCTTCTTGACGAGCACGACCTCGGGCACGGTCGCGCTGTACGCGTGCGACTTTTCAATCTCGTCAAACTGCGGGTTGTTGAAGTTGCTGCCCTGCAGCAGGTAGCCCATGGCGGAGTCGCCGGGCTTCAGCAGACCGCCCAGGTGCGTGCGCGTAAAGTAGGTGGTGTCGTTGCTGCCCATGTCGGACGCGCGCGCCACAGTGGCCTCCGCCGGCAGCCAGCGGCCCTTGCGGGGCCCCGTAGGCTCAATGTCCAGCACGACAAACTCGACCAGTTCCTTGACGTCGGCAAGCGGCGCAATGGGAAACTTTTCGCGCCAGTAGACGGGGGCCGAGATCTCGGCCGTCTGCAGGGTAGCGGGGTCGAGCAGGTTGACAGCCGTGCCGATGCGGTAGCACAGGGCAATCGGGCTGATGCCGCCAATCTTCTTGGCCATGTTGAGCGGCAGGGCGACCAGATCGTCCTTGCAGATGGGCACGATTTCAATGGAGTAGGCAAACTTCATCGAGCGCGTGCCAGAGTGTATGTCTTCGGAAATCAGCTCGGGCGAGTACGTCATGTGAATGGGCACGACCGACTTTAAAAAGTCGACAAACTTGACGGCTTGGTTGCGGTGGGCAAAGAAAAAGTCCAGACCCTCCTTGGCCTCGGAGATGTTGAGCGCCTCGCGGTGCGCGCCGTGCTTGAGCATCAGCTGCTCCAGGAAAAGGAACGTCCGCTTGTGTGTCACCTTTTGCCGGACCTGGACGGTGGCGCGCCAGACGTTGTGGGTGTAGGACTTGGCGCAGTCGGGGCACTGATGCGTGCTGACAACGTACATGACCTCAAAGCTCTGGTTGAGCAGCACGCCGTCGGCAATGGCGTCCTGCACGGTGATCTCGACGCGCACGCGACGCGAGTTGGGCTCGGTCCAGATGAAGCGGGCGTCGACAACCCGGACCTTGTTGATGCCGCGCAGGCGCTTGAGGCACATGGCCAGCATCTCACGCGACTCGGGCTCGGCGGAAACCCATTGGTTGGGGGGGATCATCCAGCGGTTGCAGTCGCGGCAGAACTGGATGTTGGCCTCGCGGGGGATGTTCTTGGAAATATCGACGGTGAGCTTGATGCACTCGTGGCAGATGGCGCCCGCCGCAGTGGTGCCGTCGATTGGGGTACCACAGTTGTAGCAGAGAATACTGGAGCAGGTTAGCATTGGGCTAGGACCAGAGGTGTCTCTTTTCCCTCCCCCGGGCGTATGAACGTACGTGGCAACTGTCTTGGGGGCGTTGCCGACCTGGACAGCGTCGTCCAGATCCATGGTCGACATGGTGATGGCTTTGTCTCGGTTCTGGTAGTAAAAGTCGCTCGTATGTACTTTGTGGATGAAAACGAAAAGGCTTCTCGTTCGCCAAAGGCACCGCTGTCTATGCTAGTAGGTGTGTTGTGTTTTGCGATGCTGATCTGGTGATAAAATCGGTAGGAGGTCCACCAGATGAGTATGGAAGTTTGCTTTATAAAAAAATTTGCCCCGCGATCGTTATCGATTAAAAAATCACTTTGGGTGGCGGTCAGTGGTTGATAAGCAGCTTTTTAGGTACGAATCGTCCCGCCGAGCCAAGGCCCAGTCAACAGAAAAACGGACCTGTAAAATGCTTCCAGTGCAGTACAACTATGATTCATAGTGATTTTTGGGGGCGTTAGGGTTCCACTTTATGAAGACTCACACCAAACAGCCAGACTACAACTTGCCTCGCCGCAAGGCTGTATTACGACGTCGAGAGATACAGAATGAATTATGTGACGTCTTCGTTCCTCCACATGCATGGGCCTGCTATGCAAGACAATCACCAGAAAAGGAACAGAATTAATTACCGTGGACGCCCAACTCTCACGCGACTATATCGACTTTGTAATGCAACATATCTTTCACACTCATTCAGCTTCTCAGCTTCTATTTGTATAAAATGAGTTTGGGTGTTCTTCCCCGACTATTCTTAATATTTGCGTAATTAATGGCATTTTCTTTTCTTTTCAAAAGAAAATATACCCCTTAGGGGTAGCCCGTAATTGATATTCTCACCTTCACAAGCCACCCAGCCTCTCACAACGGCTGCAGCCACCCTTCGTAGACGCTCTTGTCTTCCCTCCGCACGCCCTCCATGGCGCCCTTGACACCCAGAAGGCGCACGCGGCCGCCCGACTCCTTGCTCCACTTCTCCAAGAATGCCTCGAGACGGCTCTCGGTCTCCTTGTCGTCCCGCACCAGTAGCGAGACGGCGTCAAAGCCGCCGGCGCCTGGCACCACACCACCATAGACACCCTCCACGTCACTCACTGCGTCCAGCAGCGCCGTCTGTCTCTCCGGCTCAATGGGCACGCCACTTTCTGTGCCCATGGACCGGACCAGCTCGCGGATCGACCGCAAGAGTGCCGGGATCGTATCGTCATCCGTTTTGCCGTCGCGCAGCGCCGTCGCCAGTGCCTCGTTGCGGGTTTGCAGCGTATCCCACAGCGTCTTGGACGCTTCCGGAGCGCTGCTGCGCCACGCCAGCACCTTCTTGACCATGCTCACTGTCTGCGAGCCGCAGTCGACATCGCACATGCGCAGGGCCATGCCAGCGGGGAGAGCAACGCTGCCCTTGGCAATTTCAGTGTCCCAGCCGGTAACGGGTCCACTGCCATTGCCACTGGCACCAGCACTGGCACCCTTCTTACTAGCAATAACAGTCTGTAGGGCGCCACTAAAACCCGGCTTGCCAGGCTCGGGGATACCCGCGAGCACCGACGGCGAGAAGCGGCGGTACGTGCACGAGCCGTAGACGGCGGCCGCCACATCAAAGCCAGAGCCGACCTTGCCCTGGGCAGCGCAGTGGGCGGCCTGGGCGAGATTGTGGAGCGTCTCACGTCCGGCGTCGGTCGACAAATCAAAGAGGTCGACGGGCAGGTAATGGCTCAAAATCGCTGCCGTCAGCGACGTGACGAGCGCGGCGGACGAGCCCAGGCCGGTCTTGTTGGCGCCCGCGAGCGTCGTTGGGAAGCGGGCAAAGCGGTTGGTTGTGGACGTGGAAGTGGAGGAGGCGTTGGCGTTGGCGTTGGCGGTCTCGTTGGGCTGCGAGTAGTAGTCGTTGTCGGCAAGAATGGTGAGTCGGCAAGAGTTGATCGTGTGCGCCGGGCCAAGGCTGGCGAGGCGAGAGACGTAGGTAAGGCCGTACGACAGCGTCGTCTCGACGAACGGGTTCGCGTGTAGTGCCGTGCCACTGTTGATTAGCGTGCATTCTGCAGTCAAAACCAAAACCTTCTTTCTTGATGTGTCCTGCGCTCAGCTTACGTCCGGAGCTGCGTGACCTGGATGCCACCGTCCTGGTCCGCCAAATGGTAGCCATATGTCCACTGTGCTTCGCGGAACTGCGGGCTGTAGACAGCAATTTCGTTCAGCTGTACACCAGGGCTCGTCTTGATCGCCTGTGCAATAACGTTGATGCGTGCACTCAGGCCAAAGACGAGACCCGTGTATGCGCGGTCCAGCACGAGGTAGCCGCCAGCCAGCAGCACCTTGCCTGGTGCTGAGACGGCTGTTGTGTCTGTCGGGCCTGCCGACATTGCGATTGCGCTTTTGCGATGTGATGCTCTTGTATTTTAAGAGGTTTCAGTGAGTTGGAATCACAATCAATTAAGCGAGGAGGCAGATGGAGAGTCGTCGCCGCCGAAAATGCAGACGAAACGGGCGGGAAAAGGAGCTGGCGATGGAGCTATCCAGCTTTGGAAGCTTGTGCCGGTGGGGAGGGGAAACGTGCAAACCCATTGGGGCTAGATCCCCGCCAAAAACAGTGCGTTGTAAAATGAAGGCTGGTTTTGAGTGATTAGGTAATCCACGATCTAGACTCTCTATGTTCTGTTGGTGACAGCATTGTTGAGGTACTTATTTTTTCCGTTGTTACGCTTTGTATGACAAAAGTAAGCGTCACAAGAACAAGGACCGGCGAAACTAATAGGTTTTGACTGGTCTTCCAACGGGCGAGATCGTTCAAAGACTGATTTGTGTCGTTGACCGTTGCTAACGGATCGTCAACGAGTCGCGTGCTCACGTGACTAAAAGTCGGTGTTCAATGCTGCTTGACAAGTCGATTTATCGAGTCCATTTCCGGGGAGGTTGGTTTCACTTTTGGGCGGGTCGGTTTATTTTACCACCGATGCCGACATCATGGAGTCAACGAAGCTCGGACATTTCCTCACAAACGCAGTTTGTGGCATCGGAGATCTTCCCGTCGAATTCGGTTGCTGCAAACTGCTCGAGCCTCACGAGGAAAACGCAGGTGGGTCAATGTTGTGACCTTGAATTGATGTTGACGACGAGCACTGGGGCTCGTTGTGAACCCGGGGCGCATGTAAGACGGATAGTCACGGCGGTCGATTTGGAACAGGACTCGGCGGGTCATTTTCGTGGGGAAGTTGCTAATGTTAGGTGTGTCAAATGACCTGTTTCTTGGTTGGTACTAAGACTAGGTTTATCAGATGGACGAGATGTCGAGAGTGTTTGCCCACATGTCGGTCTTGGTGCTACGAAAAAAACAACTTAACACCCTCTACTTATGTACACTTCAAATAACTTTTTGGTCTGCGTTGAAAGACGTTAAAAGCACGTTGAGTTTGCTTTTTGTTATAGTTATTGATTTTGGGGGGGGGTTCATGACAATAAGAATGACAATAAGATATAAGTTATTTAAAAAGAAACTCGACAATTCAGTAAGTAAAACTGAATATGCAGAATCGAGTGCCTGAAGTTTTCTCGGTTTCAGACATAAATATTTTGATGAGCTTTGACGAGTCAATCATCACAACTCCGTACTTGACAGCCCTATCGTCACGCCAGTCGTTTGAAAGCCCTCCTCTTGGCTTCGAAAATATTCGTTTATATGTGTCTTTCCGTCGCCTGTTTCGCGGGCGAGAGACGACAATGCAATTTCTGGCATCAAAGAAGACATGTCGTGGACAAATCTGCGCAATCTCGATTTCGGGGTATTCAGTTGTCCGTTATCAGATGTACCGAAGCTGTGCAAATCGGACCTTAGAATCCATCGAGACGGAGCTTCAGCTGAACGTAAGACGCGGAGCATTCACCGTCCGTTTCATCAACCTCTACTCCCTTGCTTGGGAGCATGGGGAAGGAGCAAGCAAGAGCCCGAATGTGCATCGTGCATTCCGACTTTTCCCATGAATGCTGGCAGTGCCATTGGCGCCTGCCAGAAAAAGAGTGGACTGCACAAGGCTAAAGCAAGATTGTCCAATCGGCGCTCGTGCCTCAACGAAAGGATCCGGTCTCCTTTTCGTTGCTTTCTTTTCCCCTGCGACTAGTAAGATGTGCTGGTGCTGAGGAACGCAACAGCCACCCACACTTTTGGTTTGGCCACCTAAACGTCACCAATTTTAGAGATTTCATCTCAGCTTCGGGCCTGTCGAAACGTCTTAATACTTCGTACATTTCGCCTTCGCCTGCGAACGCGAAAACGGCCAGGAGTTGGCTTGGTTTCCCCTGGATCGCCCTAAAACCGTCCTTTGCTAGCGGAGCTCACGTGCAGCGCCGGATTTTGACGGTTTTAGGCTCTTTCTCGAAGAAGCAATCTCGAACCCTGGTTCCAGCCGCGTGGTGGCTCCGGTTTCTCTTCGCTCTTGCCTGAAAGTTGTGGGTGCCAATCCTGCCACCATCGCCCCCGAGCCTTCCGCCCATTGTGTTTGGAGGCCACATTTTGTCATATTCGGACGCGCTTTGCACGGCATGTTACCACCTTTTGTCCCCAGGCAGACATATTTGCAGTCGTGGTGCGTCATGGCTTCGTAAGGGTTCCCTTGTCAATGGGGACGTTGAGCGGGATACGTTCTTCGGCTCCTCCTCTTTTCGCACGTCGTAATCGTTGGAGCCCTGCTGCGAAGTGGCTCGGTCTTGTTGCTTAGGTGGCTCCTTCCTTGACGAACTCTCTCCAAGGTCTTCACAAAGGACACAAAAGCGCCAGTGCCTTTGTTCGAACCGCTCGCTCGCACTTTCTGTATTCTCCCATTGACCTTCCAATTCAACGTCGAACTCTGGTTTCGCTTGCCATATTTTACGCGTTTCTCGCGCCTTCACTGTGTTGTGGCACGAGTTTTTTCCAGGAAAAGGAAAGAGCAGCCAGCGCCATCAGGTTTTGGCCTGTTAGTTTGAGAAGGCACAACCCTGGTACATACCCACCCCCGGTATTTATCACATAGGCACGCGGCCGGGACCCACCACTGGAATTTTCTTCCTGCAATTTCTCCCGCCTTCTCTTCCATACTGGGTCGCTCCTGTCCCCA